CAAATACAAGTTGGCTCTACTGTGCCAATAAACCTTCCTATAGTCAATGAAGTCTTCACTAGTTCCCGAGCAATTCGTATACCATACACCTGCCCACTGGCCAGGATCAGACCACTTGTCGGGAGATATGTTCCACCTGAGGTTGTTGCTCTGCGGGTACCCCTATTAAATCTTTCGAATTTCCAAATCAATGACTGGCCTGATCTCTCTGCCAAAAGCTACGCAATCATGGTTCTTATTCTACCCACAGATAGCACCAGAAAGTGGCGAGACCATGAACTGGAACTGGTTGATGTTGTTGCAGATCAGGTGTCTTTTATTGTTCATTTGTTTTTCTTTTCATTGATCAGGCTAAAATAACTGATATATCACTTGTCTTCCTTCTGATTCCTACATGCATGCTAAAGGTTGTAACAAGAGTTTAGTTGTCCTCGGCCCTCTGCGAAGGTGGTCAAGAGTTGTAATGTTGGGTGGGCTAGGTCTTTTACAGTCATGAATTTAATATGTCATACAGGTAGCTGTTGCTCTTTCACATGCTGCTATTCTGGAAGAGTCCATGCGAGCCCGTGATCAGCTAATGGAGCAGAACATTGCTTTAGATTTAGCACGGAGAGAAGCAGAGATGGCAATCCATGCTCGCAACGATTTCCTTGCTGTCATGAACCATGAAATGAGGACACCAATGCATGCAATTATTGCACTGTCTTCTCTTCTGTTAGAGACGGAACTGATTTCAGAACAAAGAGTTATGATAGAGACAGTACTAAAGAGTAGCAACCTTTTGGAAACACTTATTAATGATGTTCTTGATCTTTCTAGACTTGAAGATGGCAGCCTAGAGTTAGACATTAGAAGGTTTAACCTCCATGGACTTTTCAGAGAGGTGCATTTTCTGGATTAGGGCTTCAATGTATACTTTCAAGTACTTTGGTTTTTGGTGAACTTACATGCTACCACTTTGAAACTGTAGGTAATCAATTTGATACAGCCCATCGCATCTGTGAAGAAGTTGTCTATGAGTTTGATTCTATCCCCAGATTTACCTGTTTGTGCTGTTGGAGATGAGAATCGGCTTATGCAAACTATTCTAAATGTTGCTGGTAATGCTGTGAAGTTTACAAAGGAGGGATATATTTCAATTGTAGCATCTGTGGCAAAACCGGAATCTTCAAGAGACTGGCGACCACCTGAGTTTTATCCAGCATCCACTGATGGCCACTTTTACCTGCGAGTTCAGGTCAATGACTGCATTTAATCTTTGTTTGGCTTATGTTAGTATTGCATTTTGTATGCTGAGGTTGGAGGTATCTCTTAGTATGTTGTATGTTATGGACAAGCGCAATTTTGATTGCAGTGTAGTCCTATAAACTTCAACAATCTTGTAAATGTGATCTAATGGTATTCCCGGTGTTGCAGGTTAAGGATTCTGGCTGTGGTATTCTCCCACAAGATATTCCTCATCTTTTCACCAAATTTTCTCAGCCCAGAAGTGGATCCAATCGAATAAGTGATGGTGCTGGACTTGGACTTGCCATTTGTAGACGGTAGAGTAAAAAAATTCTGACTTTTCACCATTTCCGTAGTGCAATTGAAAAAAGATATGAATCTGATATAAAAAAGTTATTGAAAAAGTTGATAATAATAATTGGAGTTATCAAGTAGGGTGGTGCTTTTGGTTCATTTCTTTGTATTCATTCAACTTGATCAACTTACTGTGTGAAATGACTGGATTAGGTTTGTAAACACCATGGGAGGTCACATCTGGATTGAGAGTGAGGGCATTGACAAAGGGAGCATTGTTGCATTCATTGTCAAGCTTGGGATATGCGACAATCCTTGTGATACAACAGCAGCACACCAAATGGCACCTCAACCATTACCACAACCACAACCAAATTATGGCAGTGGAGATCTCATTGCGCACAGACCAACCTTCAGCTTTAGGGATGGTTGTTACACCTCATCAAATCCACGCTATCAAAGAAGTGTTTGAAAGCCGATGGTCGTACATGTTTGACATTTTAGAACGTTGGGGATTTAGTATGTTCGTCGAGGTTGTAAAACATTCTGGATTTTTCCGTTTTCTTCTTTAATTTGAGCTCAATAGCCCGTAAGGTTGCCCATAATGCCATCAAATATCCGAGATAGACGCATTAATGGGATTCAATGATCCTTAACTTATTAATTATTGCTAAATCCTCCTCTAAAACAAATCAGGTAGCTGAATCTGTTTAATCATGAACGCAACCATATCCATCAATCCACTTATTCACAGCCCTCACAGGCCCTGGGTTGTGAGAGGCCTACAGCCTCGCTTACCCCTCGCAAAACAAATTGGAATGCATCGGACAACACCATGGAAATTAGAATACGAGCTTTTCATATGAAATCCCAAAACATAAGCAGGTCGATCGAGACCAAAACCGATCAATAGATAACAAAAGAAACTAAGCTTCATACAGAGTACAAGGATTTTGAAATCTCTTTTAACCAGGAAATAAAGTACTGAAGTCCAAAACAAAGAAACAAACTTGCTCGTCAAAACTAATCTACCCAAGTAACTTGAGACAAATGGATCATCACGAGTCATCAATCCATCAGTTCTCCTCATTGGACTCACTTCTTGGATTTCTTAGATCCCCTGCAAGTAGATGAGATTATTCAGTAAAATAAGCAAAACGATATCTATACATTATACGATCTCAAAGACGCATACTGTACTTACTGTGTCGGTTGAGATGGGGCAACAGCAGCTGGCTCAGCAGCTGGCGGTGCTCTCTCTCCAGGTCCCTGAACGCATTTTAGAATAATCAGAAATGTGGGTCTCAAAGAAATGTGAATAATTATAATCATCAGTTTTTGTGAGCCTCTTTTATTTTCAATACAGTTCTAGGAAGTTATATTATCAAATGTTTAAAAAAAGAATTTTAGCATCCCATCTCTTAATATATTATATAGGTTTTAACAATACCTGAGCCAAGCGTTCCTCCCTCCTAGCATGTTTCCTTTCCCTGCTAGCCTTGTTCTTTGCCCGCTTAGCCTCAAACTGATCAGACAGAGTCTTCTCTCTCGCCTTCTCAGCCTTTGACTTGTGGATGCTCTCCATAAGGACTCTTTTATTCTTGAAAACATTACCCTTAACCTTCATGTACATGTCATGGTACATGTGCTTGTCAATCTTCTTTGATTCCCTGTACTTGCGAAGCAAGCGCCTGAGCACACGCATCCTCCGCATCCACAGGATCTTGGTAGGAAGCCTTGCCTCCCTTGTACCCTTACGCTTACCTAAAAAATTAAGAAACCACACATTAAAATGTATGATCAACCAAACAACAAAGAAGCCATTCAAAAGAAGCCTTGCCTCCCTTGTATTGCTACAAGCAAACACTAGTATATACCAACAAATGGGAATCTATGTGACATGCCCATGAACTATAAGTATGATAAACAAAACAACAAAGCCCGCATCTCATATATAATCAACCTACCGTGTCCGGAGTGACGCCCCTTCCTCTTAGCCTCCTTCATGCGGCGTGCACGAGATCGAGAGTGGATCTTGGTTGGCTTCCTGATGATGAAACCATCCTTGACCAACTTCCTTATGTTTTGGCCTGCACTTGACAATCAAAGCCATCAATAAACAATACAAGAACACCCAAACATAACCGTCGAACTAATTTCATAAACATCTCATAAGGGCAAAATGCAAGCAAACCATGATTAAAGCATTGAATGTCACTGTAAAAAAAACTTCCAATTCATATCCTAAACTTGAAATACGTCAAATACAATTCCGACCACCAAATATTTTCAATAACTACGTACGATGCAACTTAGTACTAATTTGGAGAAAATACAAAGTTAACAATCAAGCCAAAGTTCGATATTGATGTCCGCAGCTCATAGAATTAAACAATTTTCTATATTAAATGTAAAACACATAAAACCATCACTCAAACCTAGCTCCGGTCAGCTGTCAGAATCCTAGAAACTTCAACATGATACTCAAATCACATCCGTACAACATAACTGTATTTGTTTCATATGGTTTCACGATATATCAGCCGCCATACGGTGTATAAACTCAGGTTTAGACAAAGACAAAAGCAAACCAAACAGATGATATAGCATAGCATACAGATCAAAAGAAACAAATGAAAAGAAAGGAAGGAAGCGTACGAGAATTGGCCATGGAGATGTCGCTGACTTCATTGGGGTCGAGCCAGACCTTACCGCGACCACACTTGAGCACGCTCGCGGCGAGCCTCTTCTGGAGCTTGAGCGAAACCATGTCTTACCTCCTTTTGTTTTGGCAGCTGCTATGGCAGAGAGGCTGATTTGTGTGGAAGAGACGGTTTTATATATCACACAGGTTTGCGCTTTAGAGTTTAGACCTAGGGTTTCCAATCTGGGTGGGTGAGGTGGGCCTTATTTGCCGTCGGCCATTGTGTTCCTTTTGAACGGGCTTTGCTGCATTGTTTCAGTTGAGCTTAGTAGCTCGTAGTCCAGCCCAACAATACAGAAATTGGGTTAGGCTTAGCTCCTTTTTTTTTAGTTAGCTTATCCAAAGAAGTATTTATCTTTATCTTTACGAAAAGGCTAGAATAAGGAGGTTGAGTTTATTTTCTCAATGAATGTGGGTTATGTCAGTTGACCATGACGCTCTACAAGGCGAAATGTGGGTGGCCGCCTCCATGATATATATATTTTTTTCAAGCTTAAGATACTTAATCTCTAATAAAGGTATTGATTGATACTCAAACCCCCACACAGTTCCATTTAGCATACTAAGAACCCACCTCAAGGCTCCACACACACAATTTTAAGTCAGCCAATGTGTCCGTTTCCTTATACATGAGTTCAATCCCCTTCCTTATACATTAGAATGGTTATAATATCATTTTGTAAATAAAAAGCAAATTAAGTTCTTTATGGGTGACCTCCATCCATTGACCGTATAAGTCATCACTTGTATGATTATTGATTTGGTTAAGAAGCTCCCAAATGCGAGTGGGATTAGTTGGCCTAAACAACAATAGAAAGTTTGTTAAATGGAAACATATATCCCAGCTCAAAGTGACCCATTGGTGGTGACGATGCTGGCCAGGATCATATTTTGCAGTGCAGTCCTGTTGGCAACCCTGGCAGTAATTCTGCTGGCTTTGTTTTCACCACTACCTAAAAGAAAGCCATCACCGCCATGGCTGGACCTCTCCTTGTACATCCAGCAACCACAAAGTCCTAATATTATTGAAATTGATGCAACAAGCTCCAATAATAATAATGATCATGTGGCACAATCTTCCCAATCAGAGGGCGGAGGAGCATTCATCTTCCACCGCATGCTCACAGAGGGACCCGAGAACACTTCTCGGTTGGTGGGAAAAGCGCAAGGGTTCATTATCCCAGTAGAGCACTTTGCAAACTCGGGTTTCAACATAATCTATCTCACCTTCCACACGCCTCAGTATTCGGGTAGCCTAAGCGTTGAGGCCAAGCATGTCTCCCCGAAAGACACCGAAGAGCTTACTGTGATGGGTGGAACGGGGTCGTTTGCTTTTGCAAGAGGACTTGCTGTTTTTGCTCAGAGTATCCATGGTGATGCCGCTTATCATGTAAAGTTGCAGCTTAGATTTCCTAATAATCAGTCTCGGACGACCACAATTCCGGGATGATCGTGATGCACTGGTTTTGTTCTGTAATATGTTACTTAATTGATAATAATTCTTTGTTATTAAAAATACAAGTAATGAATTTACATGTTCCTTCCATTTGCATGTATTTTCAGCAACATAAGAAAAATTCATTGATTGGTTGGGGAGCCCAGTCCTCATCAAATTGTGATAGCCCAATCCAGAGTTTAAAATCCTAACCTATCCTCTAAGGGGAGCTTCTATAACGAGGAGGTTGAGTGAGGAGTTTATTTGAGGAGCCCCATCTCACCATCAAAAGGGGTGTGGACCCCCCAATGCACCCCCCATGTGCTTTGTTTTTAGTTGTTAATGGTGAGATTTCACCTCCTCAAATAAGTTCCTCACTCAACCTCCTCATTCTAGCCTCTCCAATCCTCTAAGGTGGAAGAAGGCCAGGCCCAATGCTGAAAAAGGAAAGGCTCAGTCAACCCATCACGTGTTCGTCGACCCTGAAATAGTAAGTGTAGTACAAGAAAACATAACAAGTACAAGTTTTTGAGTGAGGAGGCAGAATATCTGTAGGCGCCCACCGGCCACACCCCAGTCGCTGTATTGGTCATAGCTTAGGAAATATCGAAACTGGAAATTGGAAACCAGCAGCGCCGCCGGGTTTGGAAACCGGCTGCGAAGCTTGCATTCACCTAACCTAGCCCACACCACGTTGCTTTCTCTCTCCTTTCACAATAAAAAGGAAAAAAATAATACCATATTTCATCTTCTCTTTTTTCTTTTGGTTCAAACAAGTAAGTTAGGGATTAGGATTTGCATGAACTTCTTCGTTTTTTTTTAATGTTTTCTTTTGATAAATTTAAAAAAAATATTATATTTTAATTAGGATAAAATCGCACTCCCGAAATGAAAGTGCACCATGAACGACCGGGACCCTGCCTGTTATCCTAGAACTTAGAACAATAAAAAAAAGATAGATAACAAACGAGGATGACAACAATAAACAAATTGAAACATTTTGTCCAGAGTTACATTTGGATTTGGGTACAAAAACATAAATAAATAAATAAATAAGCAGGTTTTATAACTAAGGCACAATGAAACAACGCCTCTAATCGTAATTAATCAGCAACAGTCAAAATACCCCAACCAAATGACCAAATTTACAACAACATCAATTTACAGAGCAGAAACGTCGTCGTCATCGAAGCTCCAGAGATCACCAACCATGCCTTCCTGAGCTGGAGGATTCGGGGTAGCTGTGGACTGCCCGTCCAGATAGGGAATCTGATAGAATTTCATCATGTTCTCGTACGCCATCAGCTCCTCAGAAAGCTTTTGCACTTCGTTATCTTCCATGATTGCAATCGCATCCTTATTCAATATCCCTTCTTTCGTTTCCTCTACCTCTTTCACCTCAGCTTCACCATTCTGATTGCAACCCAGTAGCCCTGCCGTCGAAGAGTAAGCGCCATCTGAACCAGACCCGGAGTTTTCTTCCCCCGAAATAACAATTGGGTCAGTGTTCACAAGATTCATGGAACTCAACCCCTTGGAATTGGAATTTGAATTGGAATTGGAGGAAATTGTTGCAATCTGGTTTAGATCATAGCCAAATCCCAAATCAAAGCTTTTTGGCATATGACTATTACTCAAATTCTCGCTACTGGGTTGAAACAGAGGAAGAGGATTGGGGTTTCTCAGATAGGTTTGGGTGCGAATGTCGTCGTCTTCGTTAGGGAAATTGACCTTGGCTTTCTTACCGCGGATTATGCGAGCCTCCCTATCGTAAGCTCTGGCTGCCTCTTCAGGGGTGTTGAAGGTACCAAGCCAAACTCGAACCCCTTTTCTGGGATCACGAATCTCCGCGGCCCATTTGCCCCACGGACGCTGCCTGATGCCTCGGTAGAGGTTCTTCCTCGCCCTCTTGGGGGGCTTCTCTTCTTGCCTGTTACCTGTTTGTAAAAATGCCAGGCTCAGAACCCAGAAGGATTTAGCCTCACAGAAAAATAAGATAGGGGTAGAGAGTAGAGCGTACCTGAAGTGGGTTGGGTTCTTTTGCGTGGGGATGAGTCGGTACGAGTGAGTGGGCTGGGATTGGAGTCGAAGAAATTGTCGGGATTGAGCCTAGCGAAGGGAGAATTGGGCCATATGTCGGAGGCGGTAACACGAAGGCCACGGTTGCGAGGGATGAGATCAGCGAGTATAGCACCGCCACACATTCCTGGGCTTGAAGAAACTTATGTGTATGTATGAATGATGAGACTCAGAGACAAATTTAGAAGACGTGAAGAAAACTGAGAACGGGTTTTAGGAGGATGGGTAAATGAGTAAGAAATGAATAGAGATGAGGGAGAAGGGAGGGGGTTTTGTACTGAGAGAGAGAGAGAATTGGCACTCCACTGCTATATATATGTCTTCATCTGGAACCTTCCTCTGATTTACCTACCCCATTTTATTAAGATCTTAGCATAATCTTTAATGTTATCGGGCCTTGCGTGGCTGGCAAGCCTATCAGCACACAACTCTCGTTGAGTCTCTGCTATTTGTAACGCGTACACTTTGAAAAAAGCTGTGACTTTGAAAAAAGCTTTTTTAATAAAAGGAGAGGGGACAGATTCTAATTTATCATGAGAAATCTGCATTTGTAGTTGTAGGTAACTTAAGTAGTTAAATGCATTTTTCATGCACTCGAGATCTTAAGTTCAATATTCTTTTTTCATTCGTATAAAAGACAAATTATATTGAGTAATTTTTCTTTGGTGACCCTTACCTTATATGTTTATTTAATGCATCCGTGTAAAAAGTAATTTAATAATTTTAATAAACCGAACAAAGGAAATATTTATTTATTTATTGTATATAAATGAACCTTTTGTGAAACCCACCACAAAAAAGGTAAGAGCGCACATCATACTTGAGTAACATGTTGCAAGTGGAAGAACAATTCCAAACCAGATGGTAGTATACCAGTATTGTTGGGTAACAATGTCGAACGGTTTTACATTTGTTTACTCCTAACCTAAACAAGTTTGCTTGACTCCAACACCCCAGTGCTGCTGACCCTGCAAGTTGGTAGATAATTAACGTAAGCGAGATGATCATGCGATGCTAGAGTGAGCGATGCAAAGCTAAACTTGTTTACAAACCGCTAATTAAGCCCATGGTGTGTGAATGTGTGTGTGTGTGTGTGTAACATCATAACATGCTGGTTGACAAACAAGGGAAGACTTCAAAGCCGGGTGTTGTGTTTACTTTGAATTGAAATGTAAAAGAAAACTAGGTAGCCAGCTGACGACTAGTTGTCAATTTTGTAATATCTTAATACGCATCTCTTTCGTACTCACGTCGTCTACTCTACTGCAATATATGGCTTCTCTTCTCCTCCTCCCACCCCCAAAAAAAGGAGTCAAAAGCCCATCATAACACAAAGTCTCTGAGCCCAAACCCATAACAGGCATCAGGTTGCCCCAGAGCCGAAGCAGCAAACACTGTGCAGTGCTCCGCACAGTTTGGTTGGGTATTTCTTTACCAACGTGCACTCAACCCATGTAAACTCTGTGCAGTGCTCAGCACATATTTAATCAATCAATTAATTTGGATTCTGGATATCACAAACTTGAACCATTCCTCTGGCCACAAATACTAAAAAAGAAAAAGAAAACTTGAGCCACTTTTCCTATATAAGAAAACTCTGTCTTCACCTTGTGCATAGCATTAGCGTTAGCATAAGCATACATTGATTACAAGAGTTGTAATAATGGCTCTCACCCGTTTCCTCTTTGCCACCTCTATGCTTCTCTTGACATTTCTAGTCATTGCCTCTGCTTCTGATTATGCCTCTGCTCCCAAGCCAAAGGTTGATGATCATGACACTCCAAAACCACCAAAGGTTGATGATCATGACACTCCAAAGCAGCCACAGGAAGTATATGCAAAGCAACTACCTCACGTCATTGGTATTCAAGGGCTTGTTTTGTGCAAATCAGGCCTTAAAAGCTTCCCCATTAAAGGTATATATAGTCTCTAATTCTAATTCTATGTTAAGTAATCACCAATTATATGTTAAATCAGTGAGTGCTGATCATAATGTTCTGTTGGGTTGGAATATTAATTGTAGGAGCTGTGGCAAGGATAACATGTCTGGCTGAAGATGAATACGGCTACGAGACCGCCCCTTTCTCCATACTGAGTGGAGCAACTGATGCGAAGGGTTACTTCTTGGCAACATTGTCACCTTCAGAGCTTCAAGATAAGTGGAAGCTCACAGAATGCAAGGCCTTCCTGGATTATTCTCCCTTTCAATACTGCCAAGTCCCTACCGATGTTAACCAAGGAATTACTGGTCATCTGCTTGCTTCTTATCGCATCCTTGACACCAAGAACATCAAGTTGTACTCTGTGGGACCCTTCTTCTACACCTCTGAGACTGAACCTAAATCAACCCCTAATAATGGCTATTAATTCAATTGATTGATTCTTCATTGTTGTTGCTTTGCTTGCTTTATTTTTTTTTTTATTGGTGGTAAGAGGTTTTAGGCTCTGCCATTTTGGGATTAATAATTTGTAATAAGGTGCTTTGCTTTGCCTGCACTGTTAGAGCATGCCTGTTTTTTCCTTTTGTTTTTCATAATACAACAAGACGTTTATCCTTTCATATGTGTTTTACTTCATTAGTGAATATACCATATTCCTCCCAATTACAATTAGGAAAATTAAGCTTAAATGTCAAAATTGTTGAAACTTTCCAGCCAATATAGTAGATGTGTTTTACTCCATTAGCCAATATAGTCATTTCGTTCCATTGAAGTTAATACATTACAAATCATCTAAAATTACTCGCTTCTTAAAACTACGGTGAAATCCTACATTGTTCGCTGTAAATTTAATAAAAATAAATTAAAATACATTGACTGACTGACTGAGTAATACACATGAAGTTTTGAAGAAAAATGAATTAATATCTCCTCCCTTATCTTTCCTGGCTTCCTCAAACTCAGACTCAGGCCAATGCCATAACCAGTATTTGTCGAATATTTAATCTTAAATGAAATAATAGAAGTAAAATTAGTATTACTTATAATTGTAATATTGCTAAATGCATGGAATAAGAGGGTCGTGGATGCATGAACGACGACGGCCTGAATTTTTTATCGCCCAAGTTGTAATGATTTTGAACGAAATCTGGTTTCTATGTAAAATACTCCAAACCACTTCAACAACCTATATTCATTGTATCCAAAAACGACGTGGGCCCGTGGCTTATATTATACAAATATATATAGCTTAGCCTTTACACAGTTTTGCAGTTAAATTGCAGACAATTGACCGTGCAATCAATTATATATATATATATTCCTAGCCTATGTCGATCGTGCAACCAAGTCAGTTCCTGTAATTCATTTTCCCTTTATATATATATATATATATATGGACCGTGGTGATGCTCTCTATCCATATTCATCTTTATTAGCAAGCATACCTCAAAAGTCGCTGACAATATACCCGATGGCTTTTAACCGTTTCTTCTATGCAACCTCTTTGCTAGTCTTGGCACTAGCGGCAGTGCTGCTGATTACGCCTTCTTCTGCTGCTAGCAGTAATCACTATGATGAGATGAACCTACAATCAACCAAATCCATTTTGGGCATTCAAGGCCTTGTTTATTGCAAATCAGGCCCTAAAGTTATCCCTCTCGAAGGTACGTATCTCTATTAAACTCTATGAAAGTTACTCGCTTAAAAAAGTATATATACAAAAGTACACCCCTTCATTAATTTCCGACTCGAATTCTGAATTAACGCATCCATCTCCATGGTCCCATGGACCATGCATGCAGGGTCGGTGCCCAGGATAACATGTGAGGCTGTGGACGAATATGGGATGGAAAGTGCCCCCATCACCATCTTGAGCGATGCAACTGATGCCAAGGGTTATTTCTTTGCAACACTTTCTCCTTATGAGATTCAAAATCACAAGAAGCTCACTCAGTGCAGGGCCTTTCTCGAACTCTCTCCATTGGAGTCTTGTAACGTTCCCACAGACTTGAACAATGGAATAACTGGTGCTGTGCTTGCTTCATATCGCCTCCTCCACGACCACGACAAGAACATAAGGCTTTATACTGTAGGCCCTTTCACCTTCACATCATCCTAATACTATCAATGGAATAAGTGGTGCTGGGTTTGCAGCCCACGAAACAAGAAGAAGAACAAATGTAACAATTAATCTTTGTTATTATTATAATTTTACTGCTTCATTAGCCTTAGCCCATCGAGCCCGATATCATATACTTGACTTGAACCACAAGACAGAGCCCGTGACTCTTTCACTTTGACATCACCGGAATCTTCTTGATCTAAATCCTTCACAGAGTCATACCGACTCAACTCTCACTCCTTAGGTCTTCTCACGCCTTTTCTTCCTCCCAATCCCAAAATAAAGATGTAACCAACATTATATTAATTAATTAATTAAACCCAGAGAAAGCATGGCAAAAGAAGAAGAAAGACATATGGAAAACAATACAAAAGACGAGCAGAGGAGGCAGACAATTTCAATTAGTATTGGTGGTGGTATTGGAGGGCTGGTTGTGTTGGGTGGAGCCTTGGCTATTCCACGTTTGGTAGCAACCTTCTTCACCATCAACAAAATTAGAGAAGACCGCCATGTCAATAGGAATCTAACAACACCCACCAATGACTCATCCCAAGGATCCATGGAAAACGATTGCTTCACAAAGGATGATGATGACGAGGGAACCGCACACCGCCAGTATGTTCCTTACAATTCATGCTTGTTTGTTTATTATGGGCTAAGTTTAGTGTTTTTCTGATGGCTATGGTTTAATTTACAGAGGATCAAGTGATGAAACTTCAAAGACGATGCCTGCCCAAATTGAGCCCTACCAGATGGTAATAATCCAATCCAATCCAATCCTATCATATCCCTCCCTTCCTATGACCACTCTAGCTAGTTGCACATCAGGATTTATAGTATCTTTAATGAAAAGAACGAGACATCCTCAATATGTAAACGCCAAGAAGAGAATCTCCTCACCCATAATTACTTTGAAAAACCAAGTATTGCAAGTGCAGCCTTGTTGCCAGCAGCGCATGGCAATGGACATCTTTTTCTAAGTAAAGCAAACGCGGGCAATAGTGAAGACAAACATAAACATGGATAACAACTGCTCCGAAGAGCACGTTTTAGAGAAAGTCGGTGATGGAAGCATGGGGGAGTTGCCAGAGAACTCATCGCCAAAACTAGAGGAAACAATCGATGGCCTAGAGAAGTTGGAGAAAGAAGACAAACAGTCCAAACAGATGAGCACGACAGGGACAGTAATCTAACAAGAACGAGGGGGTTGTTGAACAAGGAGGGACAGAAAATGTAGCCCTTGATGGAATACATCCAACGAGCACGCTCAACTACGTTGAACATTTGGATATCATTGCTAATGATCGTGATTTTGTCGTATAATTATGTTTTTGATCCTGACCATTCTTTCTTTCATTGATGATCAGTGAAGCAACAGAGAAAATTTAAGTCCACAAAAAGTTTATCTTTGTGACTTGTTTACGATTGAACGTTAAACAATGACTCCAAAGCAACCCAATCGCATTAGGCGACGCAAATACCAAGGCAGTTCAACATTTAAAACAAAAACAAACAAAAAAACAAAGAGAAAATAGATACGTGAACACTACACCACAGAAAAAAGAATTATGTATAGCAAGATTCGTACAACCAACCCTCTGTTTCTTGCTTAGCTTTTTGTCATTGTCTGTCGTCTCCTCTCCTCTCTCACAATTTTCTTTACAAAGTGTATACACTAAGCCTAAGTATTCACTCCGTTTCCTATATACAGTAGTAGTACCCTGAATTTAGACTTTGCTCATTCTCATGCTGCCAGCTTATTTGGCCCTAGAGTCTCCAACAAATAGATGAAAAGAAAACTACGGAGCTAATTACACAAAAATCTTTCCTTTTTTTATTATTAAAACATGACGGAATTTCAGTATTTCTGTAGGCAAAACTTCATACCCATGCCTGCCAGCAACGGATGGATGGGTGGATGAGCTTTAATGGCTCCGTGAATTAGCATTCAAGATATCGGGGATTGTCCACTGAGCTAGGCCAGCTGCAACCCGTAGACCATCCCAAGACACCTAGAATTACATCAATGCTTGAGCATGCCCTAACCTGGGAGGGGAGAAAAATCTCATGTCAGGACAGAAAAATTCACCAAGTCATACAATCAGGGTTCAGAGATAATGTCTGCAAAATTACCAAACTTTCCGCGCTTCCTTCCACATGAAATAACATGACAGCCATTCCCCTTTCCTTGTCGATCTCAGCCTGGTCATTGATGGTAAAGGTGTTACAGACATAAAAGAGAGGGGAGATATATAAAAAGCAGAAATTACTAGCCCAACCACTCACCACACAAGAACAAATAATAATGCCCACAGCTGACAGTGCTGTTGTAACCTCAGCCATCATACCTGAAATTGTTGTTTTAAAGTTTAAACAGGTCCAACAAGTAGATTGAAAAGATTTTTGAGTAGTGTCACTTATGTTTTAACCTCCAGGCATAACAAAAGGAAATCTAACAATGATTAGTTCAATAAAAGCTGTACCTTTTCGATCTACGGAAACCACGCAAAACCATTGTATGGAGTGCCCTTCAATACTATGCCAAGAGGCAACCTTGCTGGCCTGCCAACTTTCTAAACTGGGCAAGGCTTCCTTGCACATTGGAATATTAGCTTGTAACATTCTGGCAACACCATTTCCTTGTGACAACATCTCCCCTTCTGCCTTCAAACTTACATGGTGGACATTCTTGTTGTGTTTTCCATTCACCTTGGAAACCCCAGCACTTCCATTTCTAATTTGAAAGGGATCTTCAGAACTTCGTTCTGGCAATGACAGTTCTACAACATTCACCATCATTTTCTCCCATATAGGTTTGTATCCTTTGGAGGCTTTTTGGAGCTCTTCTTCTTCGCTCTCTTCTTCAGAATCAGCAATGAAGTCATTTACTTTGTCTGCTGTTATTTCAGCAGCAGACAGGGCAGCTTGCTCCCTTAAGAACTACAGTCATGATGAAAGGTTTACTATTAGAGCACAGCAGAAGTAAAAAGGAAAAGTAAAATTAAATGATAACCAACACAAGCTACCTTCATAATTTTGTGTCTGGCACTACGAGTTTTTGCATGTTGCAGCCACTGCTTGTGCCTCTGAAAAGCTGATTTTCCGGTAAGTGACTGGGGAAAGAGAAAGAAAAATATGAGCCCTAAACGCACAAGTATGAGATAACTAAATGATGAACATGTCAAATTACATGGGAATTACTATAAATAACTCCTATAGAAGTCTGTAGAAATTAGAATTCTATCCATAAAAAGACCTGCCTAATGGCCAAACCTAGAACGTATCAAATTTTTGTTCTTCCAAATAATTGAGACCTAGAGCTGTTTCATAGCCACAATTTACAGAATCATAAATTGTGTATCAAATACCAATTGCTACTTTTTAAACCTTGACGAATTGAGCTTGAAATAATTAGCATGCCACTGCTGAATTCAGCTTAGACTATTCCAAATTTTGCCATATAATGTGTGTGCGCTAAAATTGTGTACATCTTATAGTATACGTTTAAAGAAAGGCAAAGACAGATGATGGTTGACAAATACTGACATTATAAGTGATTATCTCAACAACTTCTGCATTTGCAAGTGCATGCATAGGAGAAACAAGATTGCCATTGACCTGCAACAAATCGAAGTTCATCCTAGTTTTAATTCTATAGAATGAAACTAGGAATTTAGAATTGAAAAAGAATATCAGTCAAATGTAAGGAAAGTACCTTAGCTGCTACCATTTTGTTGCCAATTTCAGTGTGTATCATATAAGCATAGTCAATAACAGTTGCTCCTTTAGGAAGATTTTTTATCTGTACATATTGTAAAAATATCTATCAACATAATCAAGCATAATTTTCTTGTATGTAAAGATTTATGTTCTTATCCAATTAAATATAACAACAATCCCAATTATGAAGCAATCCAATTTCTTACCTCTCCCCTTGGCGTAAACACAAACACACGACTGCCTAATAGATCTCTAGTTATAGTTTCTACAAATTCTCGAGAGCTCATGTTGCCAACAAATTCCTCTTGCCATTCTCTGATTGCATTGAGCCAGCCAATCTGGAGGAAACAAGAGACTTGATCCATGAAATTAGAATCAAAGTCATGGGACATGAAAGGGGTCTGCCAAGAACTTCCCCCAAGGACAACTAATAACGAATCACAAAATAGCAATGAATACAGTTACAATACCCTGAGTGCAATGTTTGCATTGTTAAGGCAGACAGTCTTCCCTCTCGAACTTCTACCATAAGGGATAGTACGCCCAACAAAACCAGTAACAAAGCCTCTCCCACTATAATGAGAAGCAATGCCTCTCTGAGCTATCAGATCCATCTCTTCTGTTCTTATCTGCCCAAACAGAAAGCCACTGATTTAAATGAACTCCGAAATAACTGAAGTTACCCAATATCAAATTTGGAAAATATGAACATGCTCAAAAAGAGCATCTGATAATACCTGCACTTCTAGCCGCAACATGCTCTCATACAAGAAAGGAATTACAGTTGTATGGAGACTCTGATAGCCATTCGGTTTTGGGGTGGCAATATAATCTTTCATCTGCCAGAAAAGATAAACAGCTACTTGTAAATTTACAAATAACTTCTGCTGATGCTTAACTTGAATCTTGTAAGAGTTCAAAGACATACGCACCGTTCGAGGAATAGGGGTCCAGATTCCATGAACCAGCCCAAGAACATGGTAGCAGATCTGTAGAGAAACAACAATAAAATGAAACATATTAGTACAGAGTCAGCAAAGAATTCCCTATCTCCTGGAACAAGAAAGGATATACCTGCTGTGGTGTGCACAAAGGCCCAACTCCAAGAGATGGCTTTGGTTTGATTACAATTCGGAGCTGGTAATAACGAAGAAAAGCTTTTAAGTCAATGAAGAAATATGAATCATCATTAAGTGTCCTCAACAAAAGTTTCAGGTTAGTTGAAGGTAAATATCAGAACAAACCTGTGCAATTTGATTGACCTCATTAATTGAACCTTTAGATTTGAGCACAGCTTTATAGATACTGCAAGCGAACATAAGAACTGTCCATGTTAG